AAATAGGAATAAATAGGTCGAATCGATAAGAAAAACGATCTACAATTCGCCCGATAACCTGACAAAACTGATAAAAAATTAATTCACCATGTCTGTTTTTGATATAGTAATTAGGTCTTTTAGACCCAATAACCTTTTAAAACCTGTCTACCATGCATATCAGTTTTGACAGGGTGGACTGTATAATAATACATACTCAATGAACATGATTCAAATTGAGAAACCCGAATTGGATCAGAATTTGTCAATACGATAGAAAATGGGTCTTGCAAATGCGGAAGATAAGTTCTTCCTATGCTAATTTTATATAAGTGAAGAAACGAATGGAAAAATTTAGGTAACGAAGGATCCAATATATATATATATTTGTTTTATATACGTACTTTTCATCTAGTATTTCTAAATCATCTGATTTTATTTTTACAAATTCATATGCATTTTGTGGCAATGATTCAAAGTTAACGCCGACAGGCTGTAATAATCGCTTTTTAGGACCAAGCACAACGTCCTCCCACTCATCATTAAAAACTTCACCAGTATCACCACGGTTTGTATTAGTATGTTTCTTTCGTTTCGACTGACTCCGATTTATAGTGAGCGTCTGGTCTAAAGATGCAGACATTTTCATAACACAATACTAAATCTATTGCATAAGTTATGTACTACCTAGTACCATCGTTTTTATTGGTTGATCGTCGGCAATTCTGATTGGCTAAAATTAAAAGATCAGGTGTGAAAATCAAAACAATCGAAACTATTTTAGGTAGCAAAAGATCAGGTGTCAAAACAAACGTGTTTTGTTTTCTAAGTAAAAGTTACGCGTAAAATGAAAACCAAGAAAACTGTATTATAATTAGGGTTAGGATTAGAACGATATAACTTCTATTAGTAAAACATCACGAGGAATAGAGTTATTCTAAAAAAATGTGTTCGTTTCGATTTTACGTTACAGGGGTGAACAATTTTTTGTGGGATAGCTAGGGCGTCATCGAGACTAGTGATTGGACCCGTCCAGGAAAGTGCCACCCGGGTGGTAAAAAATTTTTATTATAGATCACCCGCGGTGGGTTACCAGAGTCACCAGAAATTTGCCAAAGCCAATTTGCAGCAATTATTGTGGCAGATTAAAATAGCATATAAGAAACTCGCATCCGATAGATTCCGAAATGATTGTTACACAAACCATTTATATGGGCAATTGAAAATTTGATATACGATTGTAGTCTAAAAACCGGCAATTTCACCATCCGTTTAACTATAATAAGTTAAACTCAAGGTACCC